TATTTCATTTGTCACGCGTAATTAGATCGATACACATCAACACTACGGTGATGGAACCTGCCACATATTGTTCCCACGTTCCAGGTTCTTTTTGACTGTTGAACAGTATGGATTTTCTGCTGACCTACCGAAGCCTATAACTTGATATTTACTTCATTATCGCCTACTTGATTATGTTAGGAGTTGTTTTATCATGATATGGTACCAAAGACCACCGGGTGTGCACGCATGTGGAAGCCTGATCAATGCCACCTGATGACACGCGGTAACGTCTAGTTTGCTAGAAGGCATACGGAACGCGTGAGCAATGTCCAAAGGTCAGTCCTATTTGAACTGTGTGCAGTGAGCATGGGATAAGACCGGATATTGTATCTTGGCTTAAGGTGGTGTGATGTGTCAGTTAGAATGAAACGTATCAGCATAACTCTTTGCGCGCTTGCATAGTTTCCAAGGTTGATTGACATCATGGAATGATGCTCGTTCGCATAGTGGAGGCATTTGGTTTAATCTGGCTAGTAGACGTCAGCAAGCTGACAATGACACAGCAGGTCTATAATCCACACATGCTGGGGCGGACTGATTAGTTGCGCCAGTTCTGCTAAGAACCAGGGACCTTAGAGCGAGGACAAAGCCCTGGATGGCAACCTAGGGGATTCTTTAAAGTACCACGAAGTTGATTAATGAGTAAGCCATAGCATACGACTGTTCTTTTTTGCTAATCGACTAATTTGCTTCACGTTTACCCAAACAAACTCTAAATCTGACTACTCCTTACATGCATATCGGCAACATTGGCAGCGTCCGAGTTGGATAAATTTAAGGAGCTACCGCAACAAGCATGACGGATGCTCATCTGTTGCTGACAGAAACGTACAAAACACAATATATTTCACTAAGGAAACTACTCACAAGGTTGCTGAAGACTCTTGGACAGCCCATGAAAACCGTCCAATTTGGGTTCAAATAGAACATAAGATTGATGGAAACTCAGGGGTTGCGCCCACCTGGTTTGCTTCAAGAGGGGCGAAACCGGGGCTGTCGAAGAGTTTTCAGCAACCTTGTGCGTAGTTTCCTTCATGAAAATACACTGCAATATCTGAAATATCGTTCTTAATGAAACATGAGTTAGCCTGTGTGAAGCACATTCAGTTGTGGAATATCATAAACGAGAGATTCATTTGAGTCTCTCGGGAAAAGCCAAATCGATTCGCAAATGAGAGTACTTCACGATACATTTCATTTTCACCTGAGGCTAGCTTGAACCAGAGAGTTTAATTTAGTAACCCCGCCGACAACAGGTAGCTTGTCCTACCACTAAACAACAAACATAGTGACAACAAAGTTGATTGCACCCGGCTTTACTTTAATAACAGCTTTCTACAATTTCATCACCTTATGTCTTAAAGAGCCATGAGTACAGTGACTACTAAGTTGTCATTAGTTATGTCGAGTTTTCTTTCTGTTTATTAGAAAACGTTGTGCTATGAATGAGACGCTGATCCATAACTTTTGAGTTGCTTCTTTCAAACGACTGCTTGGTCCTCCTCTAACATAGACTCGGTTTCACTCCTGTTGCAATAGCGATTTCATTATGCATCAACTTGTAGGGTAAAAACTGTGATGCATTTGCAAACCTGGATAAGTATCGCACTGTTTTCAACGTTTTTTATCGTCACTGAGGTTTGTGTGACCATCATTACAACTACTTGCACGTAGTAACTTTCACAAGGATCAAACTACCGTTACGGGTGTTATCGACCAATCAGTGATAAACAAACGACCCAAACACTAGCACTCATTAAAATCGAGGCTGGTTGTTAAACAATGTCTGTACAAAAGTCCAATGATTCTGTCAACAAGAGAATGTTTGGTGGAACCCATCGTATTGTGTGACTATCCCTTAGTTTGGTTTCAGACAGACTGCTTCCAATAACTGTATCATTCAAAGTACAGTCCCTAATCGGTTCATCGGTGGCTCTGCCGGTTTCAGTGAGATCTTCACCTCATGTTGTGTTACTATGAAAACCATTATGAATAGGGCTGTGACAGATTGATATGCCTCAATATGTAAAGATAACCTATTACAATGGCTTCACTTTTCGGTTAAGCCCTAGATTGCCTATAAAGGACGTATTCCGTCATCAGAAGACCAGGGATATGTTTCATCCAGTACAGAATGCGAATTCACTAGCCCACATGCTACCGTATTTAATGCACAACTTACGGCACCAGTTGAATAGCATGTTCTAAAACCGGGACTGCGGTCTGGAGCATGTTCTGATTGGATCTTTTTTGATCAATCAGTAGATGAAACTGGCAAAATTTCTAGCAGAAAACCAAGAGCGAGTTTTCCAAATGAATCTTTAAAATTTAGTGTGTTCTATTCACTCTGAAAACTGACGCGTCCTCTATCCTAACTGCCATGTAATTGGATGTTTTAATTCTTTTTTCTTTTTATTCCAGCAATGATATTCTTTTTTGCTCATCTCCTGTGTTCCAATACTCCACCGAATGCGTTGGATTCCTTTCAACTTGACCCTTCACATCCTAGTTGAATGACATTATCCTCACGGTACTTATTCCCAGAGAGATCAGACAACCGCATATTCAAGTAAAAGTGTTAGATATCTGCAACAGGTTATAAATCACAAACTGGGGAATTTAGCTTAAATTCTGTTGTGAAAAGGAGCAAGAACGTCTTTTAACAGGCGGGCTACTTATTCAGAACGGATAAACTGTTCGTAAGACGAGATAACTGGGAGGATAATATCTTTCATTAACCTCGTAAAAGCCTATTATGGGAGGAGAACTAACTCTCTAGCCATTGTGAAACAAATGACTGAGTAACGGCATAATTAGCTATCGTTGTGCAGTGCCCGTCAATCTCAAGAACAATGGTAGATTGACTTTCTTTCCCAGATTGGTTCCTCATAACCACTCGCGCCGACGGATAGCCATTCACAATGGATAACGCCAAATGCGGGTCGCACTTAGCCGCGTTTACACCTCCTCGAATCCCCCTGTGGTCAGTGTAAACTCGACAGGGAAAGATCGTGAGGTGAAAAGAAACGGGCGCGTGGTGACCTAGTGGTTAGAGCACGAATTTACTGACTGGAAGGTCCATGGTTTGAATCCGACCTCCGCCTCTCGACGCGCCCTATCTAGGCTTGGGTAACCCTTGTGCATAGCCATCAGCAGACCCAGCCGGTGGTCCATAACTTACAAGTGGATACAACCGCTTAACTGGGTCCCATGGTGCATGCAAAGGAGCAAATGGTGGCCAGCTCCACGCACGGGTGCGTCCCATACACGAATATGTGGCTAGCTAGTACTGGCCACCGTTATTTTTACGGCTGTCCCGCACTGTCCTCTTAGATCCTCACCAACCAACCACAAACTTCTCAAACTGAAGCACATTGGTCGAAAGGTTGGTACATGTGGGTGAAAGTCATATACCTATGGTTAGAAAACAGATACAACCTACCTCAGCGTCAGTACTTCACGAGTGAAATGGCTTGGGAAAGGAAATGTCTAGCAAGTCCACTCACTCAATCACATCCTGAGGTTGTGTAGGTCTTTAAGTTAACAATGGAGAGACAAGTTGAGTTCTGAAAAAAAACATGTCTACACCAGTAGCACTTCTTCAGATAGATATTTTCATGACCAACAACCGGAATGGCTGTTGCGAAACTCATCAAAGTTCTCCCTTCATTCTTTGATCTCCATGATCTCAGGATCATTCTCCAACCACCTGAATTCTAGGCTTTGAGAATCCGATCCAGTACCATGCCTTTCGCATGGCCCACTAGGTACAGCTGATTGCAGATCAACAGTGTTTCGACTGCATTTGTACTTACATTCCGATCCACGTTTGACGCATTTCATGGGCCTTCGGTGGAGTTAAACAGAACAGAAGCCTTTTAGAGAGCTTACTGCCTAACGAAAACTTCGTAGAGACGAAATTGGTCCCTTCTGTTTTGAGCTTCTACTACATTCACGATTATGCCAAGACAGCATGAGCGCAAGTTGCTGAAACGGTACAACATGCCGTGCAACGTTCGGTTAGCTGTGAATCACTGTGAATCTAACAAGTGTTCACCAAGACGCTAACAGATAGCAAAGCCATTTTCGTTTTTTGGTAAAAAAAATCTATCACGCAGCTGTCTAACCACATATGACTCATAAGCTCAAACATATTAGCTTCCTATTCAGAGTAGAAATATGTGACAAGGGTGAGAAAGTTACTCGGACAGCCAAACTGCAGAGGGATCATCGAAATTCCATTTCTTCCCATCGAATCAAAGGCTTTCATGGATCCCACGAGGGTAGGCTTCAACGAATGATCACATTTCTAAAATTTCGAAGCCTAATAGTAGCAGCGCTTCGTTTTCTCAGAAATTCACAGCCTTCCTGCGCGTGGATTTCTTTCAAAGTGTCCTTATCCAACTGAATCGGCAGAGTTTGAGCAAAGATTTTTCCGGCGCTACAGGTAGGCCAGTTTTCACGGCAGTTTTCACGTGTCCCCTAGGTCGTGCAGAAGATGTTCTATACTCTGGACAAGAATAGGGTGGAGAGCATTTTGTCAGTTTGGTGTTTGCGCTTACATCTTTGTTGTCCACGTGGGAACCAACGTTTTTATAATGATCGGACGGTGTTAGCGATGTTTAGTTTTCGAGTCAAGTCGTAGGGCCAAAGGACCAGCACCATTACTATTTTTTATTCAATTCCGAAGTCACAATAAACTTTTTTAAAGTTTATCAGTTTTTACCAACGGCAGCATTTAAATCATTGTCAAAAAATCCCCACTAGCTGGTACTGTGTGATTTTTTGGCAGCAGATAGTCAGAAATGCACCATTTCTCTTCAATATGAGAAACCGGGGGTGTGCGGACGCCCCTCAACTGTGGTGAAGCGCCTTCATTTGATCTGTGCTTGAATAACTAAGAAAGGCTCATCTGGATTCATTTGTGATCCTTTCAAATAAGTTACTGCTACACATACCTGTAGTATGTTTTGATACTCTTATTCAGAAGACATGTGGCTCCAAGGTAAAGTATTCTGATAGACTTGTCTACTCAGCACTATACTGTCATCATCTTATCATTAGGGCTTTCAGGATTCTTGCCTTTTGTTCTATCACCAGCCTCTTTATTCAACAGGATTCTGATGGGTCTTAGGTTCCTAGTATGAGCTATTGAGCGGAACCTTTCTGCCTACGAGTTAAACTCATGTCTGGTCAGAATGTAAAGGACTTAGTTGATCTAAGGTATCCAGACTATGGATCTAGGATGATTTGGAGTAGTTCACCTTCAATCTTTGAATTTTTGACCTTATTCACAAGGCACCGAATGGCTTTAGTTTCTTGAAAGCAACTTTTTGGAAGTCGGGTTCTGACTGAATCGACCGATGAAGGATGGCTCATCGTGAGCAGCAGATTGATTCAGCCGTCACGCTCGCGCCACAGTGAATAGTAAGACTTTTAGATCCAGTCATATTATCAATACACACTGTTTGTTGTCTGGCTGTTCTGCCCATAGGCTAAACCCGAAGGAACATCGAATTCAATCATTGTATCTTACAAGATCACTGCGGCACACCAACACAAATTAGCAGTTCTGGAGACTACTATTTACATGGTCCAATCTTACATCAAGAATAGACTGGGTTAATTTTTTCTAACTTTCCACTTCAATTCCGGGTTAGAAGTTTCACATTTATATGGCTCCCCGAGAATGTAGCACCGGAGAAATACGACTACATATGACACTGATTCAGTACTTAGGCAAGACTAAGGGCTATATAGAGGGATTTTATTGTTACCCACACATCCTAATATATTCATCAGTTCTCCCCATATAACAGGATTCTCAGTTTTTACAGCACTATAGAATGTACCTGGTATGACTGAACAGTAGTCAAACTGTTTACAACTCGACTTATGGGAGATAAACTGTTAAGTGTATTTGGAGACCCTTTGAGAAATCACGCTAAACAAATTACCTGGACAGTCACTGTTCTCAAAAGGCTGAAAAGCATGATTAACTATATCCACCCGTACAGTCCACCTGAAGCAAATTATTGAGGAATGTATTCGTACAAGTCTAAATTGGATGACCCCTCATGATTCACACCGCGCTCTTCGCAGAAAAAACGCACCGTGTTTATGATTTTTCAATTGACTTTTCCAATCTATAATCAGAAATAAATCTTGGAAAACCACAATGTGCTACAAAGGACTTGCAGTTCACTGGCCCTTGTTTCCTTTGTTAGATGAACACAGTTAATTTGCCTGTTCGATTCCTTCCACTCTTGAAGTTGAAATTAGATTCATCAAGACCTACTAGATGATTGGACGTGATTGGATGGTGAATCCCACGCGTTCGGTGGCTTTGGTGCACAAGTACTGACGTGGTAAATAGGCTCTGCCTACCTTGGTTACCAAAACAGTACACGGGCAGCTTTGGGTGACTGGAAAGTGATAACATCATATTATCTAGACGCAGCCTACTCTGACCCGGCTCTGTAGTCTTTCAGCACCATGAACTGTTTCTCTCAACAGGGCTTTGTCCTTACGTTCTTTGACATGAGGTTTCATTAAATCGCTTGAACATCATCGCGTTACGTCTAAATGTGGTGCCCGTACCTGTGAACTGCGGATGTTTGAAAACGATTGCGATTTTCTTCTTCGGTATGGGACAACTTTGATTCTCTGTCGATGCGGTAGCGATCCCAATAAGCTATAAAGTCGTGGGAGTGCGAAGTCGTAGTTTTCCTCAGAAAGCCTCATCTATACTTGACAGACGTGCAAAAAAAGGCAACTGGGGATCAAAAACAACATAGCGAAAACACACAAATTCAATGACCGTCTAAATGGATGTCGGATAAAACCAATCACACCGATCAAGTGTGTGATGGCAATCGTCTTTTCAGATATGGAGTAGTGGTGAAAAGCGGGCCTCGGATTTTACGGAATTCAAACCTCTCGATGACCAAAATTATGCACCTCTTATGAGCTCTAAAATGGGTAGGACTCAAGTTCGGTTCTCCTCCCCATCGGTGTGGACTCAGCAGAATAATTGCACAAGAACAGGAGAAAGGTTTTAAGGTAAGTGATGTTAACGTGAAATTAGTTTCCCTTGGCTTTTGTGATTTATCATATCGGGATGTCTTTTTGCTGGCTCAGAACAATCCCAGGAATGGTCCGGATTTGATGCCGCTAATATTTCTTTCGCCGATTTATTTCAAGTGTTAATTGTTTTTCTGTGTTTTGCGCTTTGGCATACAGGCATTTTACCATCTATTCGGAATATGATATATATATGTATATATACGTTAGTCAGTTCGTCTTATTCCCTTAGATCTACGTTGGTATCACTTGCACGCATGCGGCATCATATTCGTCCAGATCCATATCATAAATGGCTCTCTAAATGCGGACAGGAGTTCAGGTATATGACATCTGCTGACCGTCGGATTCGTTGGCAGTCGTTTGGATATATATATATATATATATATATATATATATATATCCCTCCTAGACATTGGTGAGATGCGCA